ATATGAATTCACAATGAGTGCATTCAAGATGATCCAATAGCTTATAACGATGACCGCAACGATCTACAACTATATTCACGCAATGAGAATTTGAATTGTAAAAGGAAATCAATAAAATTACAGTAACCTAGCTAATCATCTTCACCCCATTAGCTTGGGTGCGGATCAAGATCCTCTCCTCAGCAATTGGAGATGATCCTCCTGACCAGGCCCGTCAGGCCGTTCAAATTTTATCCAACGGCTACAAACAGGAACCCCTCTAAAAGTTATAATAATTGTAGCCGTTGGATAAAATTTGAATGGCCCGATGGGCCTGGTCAAGAGGATCCTCTCCATTTGCTCAGGAGAAGATCCTGATCCTTTGGGAGCATTACACAGTCAACCCATGGATAGAAAAAAGATCTAGCGCACATTTGAAGTATTTTAAAATGATTGAAAATATTTTTGGAGAAAATGTTTTTGAATTATAAAAGCATTTGAAGTGCTTCCTGAAAGAAGCACATAATATTGGTGCTTCTTATGTGCTTCTTGCATGAATTATTTCAAGTGGTTTTCTAGGATTCACTTCCGTTTTGACTAAGGATTGATTCAAAAAATATTTTCACCAAATACCCTTTCAAAACGCTTCCAAACGAGCCGTTAAATATTAAAAAACATTTTTATATTATTAATTAGTCGTTAGTTATTACTTATTAGGCATGTAATATTTTATTAAGAAGTCTTTATCTTTCTTATATATGTAAGAGAAAAGGGATTAGGTAGTGGAATTATGGACAAAACAATATGAAGACTAAAACTGGGTCATTCCCCATTTTCTCCTGTCAGTGTTTTGCTTCAACTAAAAGTCTAAAATGGTCAGTTTTCTTTTCTCACGACTAAAAACATTTCATATGTCATGTTTTGACATGTATTCTTCAAACCAAATGACTCCAAATTTGAGCACTTCGCTTATCAGGCAATTATATATCCAAAGCGGCAAGAAACCTTTCTTGTATACTTGTACTTTGTTATTTTATTCAAACTCTCCATGCATGCTGTCCACAGCACACCCCACACACACACACATACGAAAGACGGGAAGTGATTTGTGCACTCTTCTTTACTACATACTATAATCTCCTCTTTCGACCAATAAAAATACTATAATTTCCTCAATTTTTATTTTATATAAAGTCATCGTATCGAAACAAATCAATAAATGAAAGAGTGCAGGAGTTGAAAGAGGTCGACATAAATCATCACTTCGGGTTGATGATGCATCATGCATGATAGCCAATATGAAAAGTATTATTTTCCAGCTCATAATAATACATAACTGACCCTACCAATAGGTCCAATATATACCATTCAGAGAGTTGAGTTGAGTAGTGTGACTAGTGTCCATCCCAATGATCCCTTCACAACGAAGACTTGGGATGTATGTATATGGAGTGTTGGAAAAAAGAATCAAGCTGGTTGTTAGGTATCAAACGTAAGTTTTCTCAGTTTAAAGTTATGAGTATGTCCTAATGTTGATGGTGAGAGTAGCCAATCAAGCATGACTAGGGTTTGCAGCAAGAAAAGACAGAGAAACGAGAAATTTTTGGTTGTGACAGAAACACAAGTGGTACACCACGTGTTAATAGGAATGGTGGGAAATTTTATTTTTTAAGTTATTAACTTTTTAGCACACATATCTCACCATTTTTTTAGTGACACATGGTATGTCACCTCGTGTACCGATCACACTGAAAAATCTCTCCAAAGAAACAGACTGAAAATCACTCAACATAAATAAGCACTAGGGAGACATCAGCCCTCAACATTAGGAAGTATAGCTAGCTAGGGACTCCTACACGAGTGGTTTGGCTTGCCCGGCCACCAAATGCCACAAAACATAAGTTTGTTGACGTACGCATGCACTGATGCACCACAACAAACCCTAACCCTAACCCTAATCCTAATATGAAAATATTATGAATTTTAACGAAACACTTTTGGTATTGTTCATTTTTAACGAAAATAATATTTTTACTTTAAAAAGTCATTCATGGTACTATTCACTTACAACACTTTTTTATTATTTTGAATAAAACTCAAAGTTTTGAAGCTATTTTCATTAGTTTTCCTGAAAATATAATTATATTTCTATGTAATATATATATATATATATATATATATATGTATGTATGTATATTCTAACAAAACAATATTAGTTCGTCGTCTATATATTGTAGAGATTTTTATGCTATTGATGATGTTAAAACGATTTTTTTTAGTACGTTAACTTACTTATTACAAAGATAAATTGAATCAGTATTGAAATAATGATCAACGGTTCAAGGTATAAAAAACAAGTATGTACTCCCTACGTTAAACACTGGAAAAAAAACCCGAAGATTTGACATTACATACAGATTTGAGAGGTAATTTTGAAGAAAACAAGGACATTTTGATTAGTTTAGAAATCAACTCTAGCTATAGTTGTAGTGTTTATACAACCACAAAACCTTACCTACCCTAACTGTCTCCTTATCAAACAAGTAGCTAGCTTGCTTAGGTAGTTGTCGTCTTTCTTCCACACTTTGTGGTGAGAACCGGCCTATAAATTTTCTCTTCTTGTACGTCCTTGTCCTTCCCAATTTTCAACCTTGAAAATTAAACCAGACCCCCCCCCCCCCGCGGCGCGTCACCAGGCTTAAGCACGCGTACGTATCACCAGGTTTATATGGTTTACACGTATATTCGGTCACACTTAAGACGCTGTTTGATCACCAATTTATTTTTTTATTTTGGTTTCAATTTTTTATTTAACTTGAAAACTAGAAATAGTTATTAAATGGATTTTTAGTTTTCAATTTTCCGAAATAGTTATCAGACAAACTATAAGGTTTTGCCACCTGCAGACTTGAGGGAATTACAAAAGCATACAATTCTGCGGCAAGAATAATAATTTATGTACTGATATACATCTACCGACGACCAGAGTTTTGACCCTTTTTATTCAACATTTAAAGGTCTACAAAACGAAACAAAACGCATGGCGCTAGGAAAGAAATACGAAAAAACATATACAATACGTGATGATGAGAGGTGCTTACACGTACGTACATATACACCCGGTAACACCAGAGTTAATGCTACGAATACCTGGGAAGAAAACAAGAAAATTGCAGAGTTGTCATGTACAACCAGCATATACGTGATCCAGACTACGCAGCAGTCAACTTGCGCGCCTATTTTTTCATTTTCTGTGTTGAAATGTGGAACCCCCACCCCCCACGTACGTCCAATTAACGCCAGATAATTAGAACTGGACTTGCTCCGGAGGGGACTGTGGACCCCATGAAAGCGCAAGCACTCATAATTCGCTTCAATAATTCAACACCGGCCACCAAAATCAAACCCTAAAGTAGAACTTGAAACAAGTCTCTTTTTGGATCCACAACATTTTGTTGGACCAAAACTTATTTTCTGAGAAGGTGTTTTTCTGCGGTGCTAGGGGAGTACTAGATATTTCGAGTTTTTAACCGTTAAATTTATGGTTAAAACAAAAATATTAAGATCTAACAGTTAAAAAGTTCGAAATGCGGTATCTAACAGTTAAATTTCTAGTATCCCTACTTTGGGTGCAAGAACCATCAAACTCATTTTGGTGAGAAACCTCAAGAGCGAATAATGATTTCATCCTTGTAGTTCGTGCAAAATTTCACTTCGGTCCTTATAGTTTCAGTTGTCACAATTTAAAGGAGGCACTGTTTGGGTGCCTTTTTCATTCTTTTTTATTTTGTACAGTCACAGTTAAGCTACGTCAATATTTTATATTAATTTTTTTATAAAGATAATAAGACAAAAACAATAAAAATATAAAATATTGAGGTAGCTTAACCATGACCGCATAACTAAAAGGGAATGGAAAAGACACACAAACAGGAAAACAGACAATCTGCCTCCTAATTTAAAACATTGTGAAAAATAGGAGAGATACTTTTATCAAAACCAAACATGCCACATGGCAAGCATCCAACGATTAATTTGTTCAATTTATGAGCACGCGATAAGCATCCACTGGACCTTATCACTACTATTTACGATGCACATCCTTTAACAAAGACATAACTTTAGTTCAGACGTAGCCTTAGATCCTGATATTCTAGCTTTTAATCTTGATATTCATGTTTTTCTTTTAGTACATCAATATTTTTTCATTAAGAGAATAAGGAGTTCGGTTAAGCCATACAATAAATAGCCTAATTTGATATCGAATTCACTATCTACAAGATTCAAACATAAGACATCTTATTTCAAAATAAAAAATTACCATTAGACCGCAATACTAAATGGCAATATTCACATTTAAATTTGGATTACTTTTCTGCTATCGTTCGTCCATAGGATGTTTAAGAAGCATCTTATTAAATAAATAAAAAATTGATACACGTTGAAATTGCAACAAAAAGTAAATTCTGCATAATGAAGTCAGCATAATAATAATTCAATTCTTTGCTCATAACTCGTCCCCAATTGTCTTCCAACTCGGTCCCTGTTATGTTCTCTCGGAGAAAGCAACAGGTAAACATAAACAGCTATTTGGTATTGCATCACAAATCAATTATATCATTAGGGCAACTACAAAAATAGCAAGTTTTCGACACAACCTTCTTTCTTTCAACGTTTCAAAACTAAACATAAATTAGCCAGGTGAGTTGTGACACTACACAAACTACCAAGGTCTCTTGTAACCGATAGGAACGGTATTTGAACCAGAAATCATGCCCCGGTTCCCAAATCCTCCTCCTCGTCCTCTATTGCGGAAGTTCCCTCCGGATCCTGAAAATAAAAAACAGCATTGTTCACCATCCCATAAAACTATGCATGCATATGACACCGTATTCAAAGAGGAAACTGAGCCTACCTCCGAAACTACCACTTGATCGGGCCATTGTAGCCAATGCGGGGCTCACAACCTGACCTGCATCTTGAAGGATCTTGATTAGATCCCTAGCGAATTTTGCGTTTGCGTGCGTGAAAAAGGTTAAAGCAGTTCCTGTTGCTCCTGCACGTCCAGTTCTTCCAATCCTGTGGACATAATCCTCAAGGCTTGATGGAAAATCATAATTGATCACACATTTTATGTCCTTCACATCTACAACAAAACAAAGCATAAGTTAGGTAAACGGTACGCAAACAACAAAACACGGAGAAAACTGCGAACAACCTTATCCCTGCACCCCTGAGATCTCAAGATCAAACTAAAGACAACACATTCATCATGTAAATGTGCCCACCTTAACCTAGCAGGGATAAGGAGCAGCTTCACCACAACCACCACTTCCCATATCCAATCAAATGAACAAGCATGCGTGAGTCAACCGGGCTGCGAGGATACCCAGCTCCGTAACCGTGGATGGGCGACAATGATTTCAACCATGTTACTTAGACACTTGAAAGGAGAAGCCAAACCATTTCAGGCACCTCTAGTACAAATAATTGAGAACTTTCCTTACAGAGAGCCGTATGAATTATCAAATGCCCCATGTATATAAAAAATAGACTTTCCAGACCAATGGAAGATACGGGCTTGCATTATACAACGGCATACCACCCAGACTTAGGAAGTTAACCCGAGTCATACCAGTGAAACCTTGCTCCTTGTGTCCATGTAACATGAAATTCAAATAAGGTAAGCACCCAGAGAGTTATCACAGGGGGCATTAAACTGGTAAGAGTTATCACATGTGATGGCACCTGCCCTTCGCACCCAAACCACAAATTATATTCTCAGGAACTGGACAGCAGCCGGCCGACTCGTAATATTTCAAATTCAAGACCTAAACACCAAGGTTTCTAGCACACAATGATCCTACCAAGACCCCGCGCAGCCACATCGGTGGCAGTCATTATTGGGTTCCTGCCACTTTTAAACTCAGCCAAGACCCAGTCCCTTTCAGTCTGGTTTTTATCACCATGGATGGATAGAGCTGGCCATCCATCCATCCTCAATTGTTTAGTAACGTAGTCACATCCCTTTTTCGTCTCCACAAATATCAGAATTCTGCTCCCAACCATTGCTTCTTTGAGCAATTTGATCAGCCTGCCGACAAAACAATTTGAAGTACTTAGTATGAAAGCAAAAAAGAAATTCAACCTTATCATGTAACCAGATGTCAAGCACAAGAGACAGACCTATTGTATTTCTCCACCTCCGTCACAACTTCAACAACTTGGTTTATGGATTGGTTTGCTTTAAGGCTTGCTGATCCAATGATTACCTAAACATAAAGAATTGATATAAAGTTATATCACACTTTATTTCACATAGACACACATCTGCACAACCAAGCTGAATATCAATATATCATACTGATATGGTTAAATCACCTTATATGGGTTACGTAAAAACTGCCTTGCTAAACTTTCAACCTCCCTTGGCCACGTGGCACTCCAATACAATGTCTGCCGATCTGGTCGGGTCTGCAAGAAAACTAACTTAATCAAACGCAATTCCTAAGTTTCAAACAGCACTACAAGTGTGTACATTAGTTGCCAAATTCATTTATACATAAAAATCGGGTCGGCAGAAACATAAAGGCTAACTAAAGAGCAGCTCTGCAAAGTCCCTCATGCAACAAAAGTTCATGTGCTCAAGCACATTAGAAACATCATAGATTCATAGAATATTTGACAAATTTGCATAACAAATATTCTAAAGCAGTTATGTGTTGTATTTAAATACTAATATTATTGTTTAAAAAAAAATACTAATATTATTGTTAGGCTGTTAGCTGTTTGACCAAACAAAAAATATAACTTTCAGCTGATTAGTGGTGAAGCAACCGAAATGATAAAACTTAACATACTTGGGAAACAATTTTCCTTATCTGTGGCTCAAATCCCATGTCCAACATCCTATCAGCCTCATCTAAAACTAGATAAGTGACTCTTCGCAAATTTGTATGCTGAGCTTCCAACATATCTATCAGTCGGCCAGGCGTAGCTATAACAATCTCAACCCCTGCCACATGGAAGAAATTAGGACATTACTATATGTAGGGTCCTATATATTAACTGCTAAATGAACATAAGCTAATACATACCTCTTTTAAGGTCGCGTATTTGGGGTCCTTTTGGAGCACCGCCATAAATGCAAGTACTCCTAATATTGGAACGTAAGCCAAATTTTAAAGCTTCTTCTTGAATTTGAACTGCCAATTCTCGAGTAGGTGCTAATACTAATGCAATAGGACCTTCTCCCTGAGCTGAAGTTTATGGCAAAAGAATAACCAAATTCAGGGTCAACTGCTAGGAAACAAATAATCGTAACTTAAAAACAGGAATGGTAACCAATACTGACCTAACCGAGGCTGCGCACTAATGTGTACCAAAGCAGGCAGCAGATACGACAAAGTCTTACCAGAACCAGTCTCAGCGATGCCAATTAAATCTCTACCCTTTAATGCCATTGGCCATCCTTGAGCCTGAATTGGTGTTGGTTCAACAAAACCCAATTTTGCAATCGCCTCGAGGCAGTAATCTAATACATAACATTACACCAAAATAAGCTACTAGCACAAAAAGAAAACTTTATAAGAAAACAAATACTGTAGCATTCATCAGCAAGGAAATACCAGGGAAATTCGCATCCTCAAACATCTGAATCGGCTTTGGGATGTCATGCCCTTCAACAGTAATCTCCCGCCTAGTACGATACACCATAACATCATGCTCTGACATTGCCCTCACTGAAGGACTTTCAGCATAGAAATTCTTTTCAAAAGGTACCAAGGTCCCAAAATCTTGCTTGGGAAGCATAATATTATCCAAGTCTCCTCTTGACGAGCCACCATGCCTACCTCCTCTTCCACCAACTCCACGCCCACCGCCGAAACCCGCACCTCCACCACGACTACCACCGAAGCTCCTACCGCCACCACGGCCTCCATCAAAACCCCTGCCACCGCCACCAAATCTCCCAACACTACCACCACGACCCCTTCCACCACCAACATGTCCATTCGACGCTCTTCCACCAAAGCTCCCATTACCACCACCTCGACCGATATTGAACCGCTCGGAAGGGGGCTGGAACGGCGGGTACCCATTAAAGTCTCCTGGACCCTGTGCCGGTCCACCCACCCTTGCCGAATACGGAGCAACCGGAGGCGATGGGCCCCCATACGGAGCGGGCCCACCTCCACGGCCATAAGCGGTGCCACCAGCCGCAGGCGCTGGACCCATTAGGTCACTGCAAATTCACAATTACATAAAACCAAACACAAATGAAGAAACATTAAAACAAAGAATTGAATCGAAATTGGGAAAAAGTTAGAAGCAGCGATCTGAATCGGAAAGCAATCGACTTTGGGGGTAAGTGTAATTACTAATTACCTTCGGCGCTCACGGTAGGAGTTGACGTCGGCGTGTCGGTTGTCGTAGGCGTACATCAATGATGGAATTGCAGAGGTTGGATTGCAGCTCTAGGGTTTCTGATCTGTTAGGGTTTCTGAGAGCACAAAACCGGAAGGGAGAAGAAAACCTAAAAACGAGCCAAATTGGATTTTGGATTTGAGTTTCCTTCTCCCTGCTTTTATTTTGGTCTTGTCGGAGGGAAATTTGATATTATCAAGTACACGTGGCGGTTTAGATACCGTCTTACAGCGATGCTCACCTAAAAGAAGCATTAACACACTTATTACATGCTCGTTTGGATGCACTTTTAAAATGACCGAAAGCATTTTTAGATAAAATATTTTTGGGTTCCAAAAGCACTTTAAGTGCTTTCTAGAAGAAGCACCAGTTATGTGATTTTTCCATGAAGCACTTTAAGTGATTTTTAAGAATTTACTAGCATTTTTACTAAGGATTATTTCTAAAAATATTTTCACCAAAAATATTTTCAGTCATTTTAAAAGCACGTCCAAACAAGCTCTACTACTTTAGTAATATTCATGTTCACTTGTAAGTGAAAGATCTTATGTTTGATTCTCACCAAAGATAAATTTGAAACACATTATTGCTAGTCCATTATGAGACTAAGCTCACCTCCTCCTCCAAGTGTTGATAATATCATTTATTCAAGAAAAAAAAATTAACTTGTCGCAGATGTCGCCACTTAGTACTGTGGTCTAGTGATATTTATCCTCACTTCAGAGTGATAGGTCTTAAGTTCTATTCTCGACAAAAGTGAATTTGAACCACATTATGCTAGCTCATTGTGAGGCTAATCCCACCCCTCCCCTTTAGTAGAATTAATATCGTTTGTTAAAAAAAATACTTATCGCAAGTTTGTCTGGCCTCTTTGGTTACGATTAGTAAAGTGTAAAGATTGACTTGGTTATTGTCTCAGTCGTTATTTAAAAATAGATTTTTCAGTGTGCCAAAAACACGGCTACACCAAATTTCCTTGTGTTGTGAATATGGAAATGGATCATCTCCATATCCATTCCTCCTAATCCACCAAATCAGGAGATCCATGTCCTTGAAATTTGATCTAACAGCTGAAGTTATTATAACTTTTAAAGTGGACCCCTGTTTGTACCAATTGAATCAAATTTCAACGGTACGAATTCTTTGATTTGATGGATTAAGAGTAAAGGATCCAGAGAGGATCCCTTTCCTGTGAATATAATCCCCTCAAACAAAAGCATTGAGGTAAAGAGAAAGCTTGCAGATTAGGCTTAAAAAGGATGCTGCTTGCATGTCAAACCCGAGAGAAGATCATCGTGAGGATCCTGAGGATTCTCCAATTATATCCGTTCATCGTACATTGTACGGTTATTTTTTGTCAAGTACTGTTTATATTCAATTTTAAATATAAAAAAATTTATAATAATTTCTGATCACACGATGTACTATAAACGAATGTGATTGGAGGATCCGGCAAGTATCCTGTCCCAGCAAGAAACTGAACGTGTCGCAGCAAAAGAGAGACTAAACTGTAATTCTAATTCAAGATATTATGAGCTAACAAACATCTTGAAAGTAAGTATGGGTGATTAAACTTTGAATTCACCATATATCATTGTTTTTGGACGGTAAAGATGGAATCAATATTTCATGATACTTGGATATATATATATATATATATATAATATATGAGCTAAGTTCACATTTATTCTGCAAGTTGTGTCATTTCAACTTCTTTCATCAACTATATAATGTATAAAAGGAAAGGTTTAGTATATTTCATCTCTTCCTTTAAACAATGAACAACAATGAACAACCAACAACCAATGTGCGTATAATTTGTATACAATGGATTGCTACTCCATTTTCAGATAATGGATTGCTACTCCATTTTCAGATAGTTGATTGAAATATTGAAGGAAACTAAAAAGTTAACTACGTTATTTGATATATTTCTATGCTCCTTAATTAGAATGCAATGTGACTTCTGGTTTGAAACATATGGCATCACTTCTTATGAAATTTCAATTTTGCATCAGGGCTTCACAATGACAATGGTTTGAACTTGGACTCTTTTGGTTTGCTGATCTTTTAGAACAACGCAATTGCTAGAGAAACCCTAGTAGCCGCTCTCTACAACCCATATCCCAAAAACCCAAATTTGAAAACGGTTGTCCGTGTTGAAGATTAAAGATCTGTAAAGAAATCAAGACTCTAGAGAGAATTTAGAGAGAGAAAGAATCTACAGAGAGATTGTGTTTGTTGAGGAATGATTCTCATTAATTGATATACCAAGTACAAAGTGTATATATACATAAATACTCAATAATACTGACTAAGCATTTTTACACAACTAACTCTTAACAAACCAAAACTTAACAATTAAGCTACGTATCTAGGTATTATTCTGATGCATAGTGCTCATGGTTAGTAAGTGGTTCTTCAATATCCTTAACACACCCCCTCAAGCTGAAGGGAGGAGAGTAAACTGAAAGCTTGTGACTAAGAGTAGCAAATATGTCTGCAAGTAAGGATTTAGTAAAAATATCAACAATCTGTAATAGAGTAGCAACATGATGAATATTGATATGACCTTGAAGAACCATCTCTTGGATGTAATGATAATCAATCTCGACATGCTTTGTGCGAGCATGAAAAACTGGGTTCTTAGCTAATGCAATAGCACTTTGATTATCATAACAAATCACAGGAGTTTGAAGAAGAGGAAAAGAAATATCCTGCAATATTTTGCACACCCAAGTGAGTTCTACAACAGTATTGGCTAAATACCGATACTCTGTTTCAGTAGAGGACCTTGCCACAGTGGTTTGTTTCTTGGCACTCCAAGAAATCTAATTAGGACCTATGAAAATACAATAGCCACTAGTAGATCTTCTGTCTACTGGACAACCTGACCAATCAGCATCAGACCAAGCTGTGAGAAACTATTTTCCTGGTTTGAACCATAAACCTGAGTCAATAGTACCCTTTAGATATCTTAAGATCCTCTTGACAACATGTAGATGTATAGTTATAGGAGCATGCATGTGCTGGCAAACCTGATTCACTGCAAAAGCCAGATCAGCCCTTGTCCAGGTTAAGTATTGAAGTGCACCAACAGTTGACCTATAAGATATAGGATCTGAAAGAATAGAGCCAGAATGATCCAACTTGGTTGAACCCACTAGAGTATAATAGGGTTTGACACCAAGCATGTCTGTTTTCTTAAGCAAATCCAAGACATATTTAGATTGGTTTAGAAAGAGACCTGTAGAAGATTTGTGAACTTCAATGCCTAGAAAATAATGAATATCTCCCAAATCTTGGACATGAAACAAAATTTCAACTTGGAAATTATGGACTGACAAACAATAATAGAGCTCCCAGTTATGATGATATCATCCACATAAACTAGGATAAATGTAATAATATAATTTCTCTTGATGAAGAGACTAGTATCAGAGGAGGAATAGGTGAATCCTAATGAGAGAATAGCATTATAAAATGATTCATACCAGGCCCTGGGTGCATGTTTTAGACCATAGAGTGATCGTTTCAGTTTACAAACATGACGAGGTTTAGTTTGATCAATAAACCTAGGAGGTTACACCATGTATACATCCTCTTTGAGATAGCCATGAAGAAAGACATTGCTTACATCCAACTGATGAACAAACCAATTATATGTAACTGTAATAGAGAGAAGAATCCGAATTGTGGTAGGTTTAGCTACTGAGCTAAAAGTCTCACTGAAATCAAGACCTTCTTGTTGGTGAAAACCCTTGGCTACAAGCCTAACTTTGTAGCTCTCTATAGAACCGTCAACTTTGTGTTTGAGTTTGAACACCCATTTGCAGCCTACCAAATTATAATGAGGATTGGGCAATACTAGATCCCAAGTACCTGTGGACTACAGAGCTTGATACTCATCTTTCATTGCTGCCAACCAGTTTGAGTTTTTAGATGCTTGCAAATAAGTGGTTAGGGTAGGAGGAATAACAGTGAGAGAATCAACAATGGAAGAGAAATGATGTTTAGTTGCAGTGAACATTTTAGGCTTGTGTATACTAGTCTTAACCCTTGTAACCATGGGATGATTATTAACTAGAATAGAAACTGAAGTAACATTTTTTATAGGCTGAGGAATGGATGCTAGATGAGGATAAGGAGCAGTAGTAGAAGAGACTGTAGTAAGAGATGCAGTTGGTAAATCTGATGCAATAGATAAGTCTAAGACATTAAGGAAATTAGACGTAGAAGGAAATGGTATGGTGAATGAAAGAGGAGAAGTTGAAGGTGTAGTAGTGATATTGGGGAAGTGGTAGAGGAAAAATTGAGTTGCTTGAAAGGGAAATAAGCTTCATCAAATACAACATGTCTTGAAATATACAACTTGTTGGTAACTGGATCTAGGCATCTATACCCACTGTGATTCAAGCTATACCCCAAAAATACACAGAGCTTACTCTTGGTGTCCAGTTTGTTAGAATTATAGGGTTGCAACCAAGGATAACAAGCACAACCAAAGGTCTTCAAAGTGTGATACTTAGGTGCAGCGTTGAACAATAACTCTCAGGGATAAGAGGAAGACTGAGATGGCAGCCTATTAATGAGATATTTACCCAAAACTTGGAAGGCAAACCACTGTGAGATAACAGAGTCTTACCCATTTCAACAACATGCATGTGTTTTCCTTCTGCACACTCATTCTGCTCTAGAGTGTGAGGACAACTCAATTGATGTATTATACCTTGAGCATTAAGAAAATCTTGGAAAACAAAACTGAGAAACTCACCCCCTGAATCAAATCTCAGGCACTGAATCTTACTATCAAACCAATTCTAAACCTTCAAAACAAAAATTTTAAGAACAGAACAAACATCAGACTTGAAATGCAAATGATATAACCAACTATATTTGGTGAAATCATCGACGAGGATGAGATAGTATTTATATCAAGTACAAGAAGGAGTGGAGGAAAGACCCCATACATCAACATAAATGATATGAAATGGCCTAGTGGAGGTACAAGACAAAGTAGAAAATAGAAGTCTAAAGGCCTTCCCCAATTGACAATCAGAACAAAATGATTGTTTAAGTACTGAACCAACAACAAGTAGTTTACTTTTATTGACAACCTTATTTAAAACTACACTTGAAGAATG